ATCCATCCATCCTCCCATCCACTCATCCACCCATCTGTCCACCCATCTACCTATCTATCCATCTATCCATCCATCCATCCTCCCATCCACTCATCCACCCATCCGTCCACCCATCTACCCATCCATCCATCCATCCATCCATCCATCCATCCATCTATCCATCCTTCCATCCTTCCATCCACTCATCCACCCATCCACCCATCCTTCAACCCATCCATCCATTTATTCACTCAACAACCAATCTTTGTTGGCTTTATACTATGTTCCAAGCTCTGTTCTTGATTCTGGAGCAGTGTGGGGAAAAAGCAGACAAAACTCCTTGTCCTTAAATACCTCATGTTCCAGAGGGAGAGACAGCTACTACTGGAGAGGAAGCAGCATTTGGGGCGTTTAGTGGCAGAAGGGGGGGGCAGGGGAGTGAGGTGGGTGAGGGGCAGGGAGGCTCCCGAGCAGGGACATTGCATGCAGGCCGGAGGGGGCCAGGTGGAGGCCGTGGGTGTCTGGGGACAGTGGCTGGGGGCAGGCGGCAGCTGCTGAGGCCGGGGTGTGGGCGCGTGCCATGTGGCCACGGGGGAGGCCAGCATGGCTGGGGCAGGGGCAGGGGAGTGACTCCGTAGGAGGTGCTGTCACGGAGCTGACAGGGTCCCGATCTTGAAGGTGCCTTCGGATCTTTGCTTTTGGTGCGAGATGGGAGCCACGGAAGGTTCCGGAGCAGAAATCAGCATAAGCTGACTTACTTTCTAACAGATGAGTGTTGCTGCAGTGTTGGCAATGACTAAGGGGAAGCAGGAGGCGGCTCTGTACAGGGCGGGCCGCGGCGTCCAGGGAGTGTCTGAGCGCTGGAGTACCCTGAAGCTCCCGCGGTCAGAAGAGTCAGGGGGGTCTCTGCTGAGGCTGGGGATGGAGTTCTGTGTGCCGCAGCCAAGCTGTGCACCACAGGACGTTGAGCAGACCCCTGGTCCTCAGCTCCCGAATGCCAGCTACCCGCTCCGTTTGTGGCAGCCAGAGTGTGCACTGTCCCAGGAGAGGCTCCCCACTGAGGCTCTGGGCCCAGCCCCCGGCGGCGGCAGGCGCCATTCAGCAGGTTTTGTGTTGTTCCTTTATTTTCTCTGTGCTCAGTCCTCAGCGAGGGACATCACGGGCCACTTCTGGGCATGTTGACTTTCCTCCTATGATTTTTTGAGAGAGGGTCTCGCCATGCAGTCCAGGCTGGCCTTGGACTCACTGTGTAGCCCACGCTGGCCCCGAACGCAGTCCTCCTGCCTCAGCCTCCCGAGGGAGAGTGCTGGGATGACAGGTGTGCGCCACCACGCCTGTTGAATCTACGATGGCTGTGTGGAGGCCAGGAGCGGTACAGGGTTGCTATTTCCGGCTGTGTGGAGCACACGCTCCGTCACGTCTACCTATGAAAACAGCCGTGAGCGTGGCTGTGTCCCAGCTGAGCCTCGTTTTTGGCTCCCGCAGTTTGAATCTCACGTCGCTGTCGTGTGCCGCGAAGTCCTCCTCTTTGCTATTTTCTCCACCGTTTACAAAGCTGAAGCCGCGCTTGGCTGGGTTTGGCCCGGGGGCCTTGGGGTGCTGCCCCGCGACTGAGCAAGGACAGCCCCAGCCGGGCCACCACGTGTGCGCGGTCGGAAGTCACCGGGAGGAGAAGACCGAGGCAGACCAGAAGGAAGCGCGGGGGTTAGAACTGAGGGAGACGGAGCCAGCAGAGGGAGCTGGGAGGGGAGGGGAGTTTGGGCAGAAGCCGGTAAGTGGGTGTCCTGCAAGCCGAAGGAGGTTAGTATGCCAGGCAGGGGAAGAGGAAGCGCCTCTACCGGCACGATGGCTGTCACTCATCTGTCACCGGTGTGCCCCGTAACCCTGCAGCGCAGCTTCTGCTATTGCTCAAGAGAAAGCCAGGCCCTAGAAGGGCAAGCGTGCCCCCCAGTCACGCGGCCACCGTGCGCCCGGCTGGGGGCTGGAATCCAGGCCTGCGCCGTTTCCCAGGAGAGGAAAAGCGACAGATCCCCCCCTGGCAGCCTGCAGCGGCCGGCCGCTGAGTACAGAAACCACAACCTTGGACCAGCACCTGCTTGGCTTCCGGGCTGGGCCCCGCCTCCCTTACAGCGGCGCGTGAGGTGAAGACGCCTCGGAGACCGGGCTCTGCAGCAACGCAGAGGGTGGCGGCCTCTTGTCTACCACGGACAGCAGTGTGACCTTGGCCATAGGGTTAACCTGTGTTTTTTCTCTTTTTGCTTCTCGGAGACAGGGTCTCGGTATGTAGTTCAGGCTGGGCTTGAACTCACTATGGAGCCCAGGCTGGCTCACAGCAATCCTCCTGCCTCAGCCTCTTGAGCACTCATAGTTCACTGATCTGTGCCTCTTTTCCCTCGTGGGGAAGGGAAGGCTCTGATCACCTGAACTCCCAAGGTTAGGGTGGAGGTGGACGAGATGAAGAATAAAGTCTCACTCACGCTACTCTGTCCCCGGCACTCAGCCCTCCGTCCCTTCTCGCTAATAACTCAGAGGCTCCCACCTCTGGCCTCACACTGCCCGACAAAAACAGCTGTTTCTATCATTTAATTTTTCTGGGGCTGGGGATGGATCCCAGTGGTAGACCCCTTACCTACCATGCAAGAGGTCCTGGGTTCCAGTCCCATTAATGCATGAATAAAATTCTCTAGTTGCCATATTCAAGCAAATAAAAAGAAACAGGGGAGCCAGGTGCGGTGGTGTACACCTGTCACCCCAGCTCTCAGAAGGCTGAGGCAGGAGGATCGCCATGAGTTCAAGGCCAGCCTGGACCACAAGGCGAGACCCCATCTCAAAACATCAGAAAAAAGTAAAGAAAAGGTGAGCTTAATATTTTCTTAGCTGGTCATGGTGGCAGCACATGCCTGTAATCCTAGCACAAAGAAGGCTGAGGCAGGAGGATTGCCTCTTGAGGCTGCCTGCACTACACAATGAGTTCAAGGCCAGCCTGGACTACATGTGGAGATCCTGTCTCAAAAAATTTTTTGTTCTTTAACCCAGCACAGCCAAATGTCATTTGAATAAGCAATTGACGCACCAGAGTTATTCAAGAGGTATCCAGACCTTCTGCCACATGGAGTCTGCAGTCCAGTCCAGGGTATGTTCCTGGCTGGTGGAGACCACAGTGCACGGCTCCTTCCCTCCAGCCTGGTCCTTGGAATCTGGCCACATCCCGGCTCCTCCAAGGACGCAGAAGCTGGCCTGCAGCCCCATCTCCAGCCCGGCTCTGCAGGGTCCCCCGGAAGCACTTTGGAAGTCCTGTCCCACAGAGTCCTCTCAAGGGCATTAGCACCGGGGAGGGACTGACAGTCCTCTCGGTTGCCGGAGCGGGAAGCTGAGGGCCCACGGGGAAATGGCTCAGCCTGCGGCCCCAGCCTGGGCGGGTCTGCCCGTGCCCTCCCCATAAGGGCCCTGCCGCTGAGCATGGCCTGTGAGGCCCCGGCCACCCTTGATCTCAGAGAGGCTCCGCCCCGACCCACGCGCCTTAGCACTTAGCTCGCGCTGAGACCTCACAGGCTCTATGGAGTCGGGGTCTTCGAGCGCCCTGGAGGAAGCTGAGCCTCGCGACACTCTGTTCTGAGAGCCGCAGCAGGGCGAGGGGCAGCTGTGACTGCCCACGCTTCCCCACTGTTACCGCCTGGGGCCCTGAGCAGCTCCTCCAGCCCCCTGGGCCTCAGTTTCCTCACTTGTAAAGCAGCATAGGTCACTGCCACGGACTGGGGTTTGTCCACGGATAGGGATTAAGTGATTTGTGCCTGGAGCGTGGCTGCCTGTCCCTGAGCACCAGCTGTCATCATTAGCACCGTGTCTGCTCATCGGTCAGAGGTCCTGGGCTGCCCATGTCTCACGTTCAATCTCATGTAATTGTTATGCTTTAACAGAAGGTGTTGTTTTTTTTTTTTTTTTGTCTTTTTGAGACAGGGTCTTGCATTTTAGTTCAGGCTGGCCTTGAGCTCACTCTGTAGCCCAGGCTGGCCTCGAACTCCCAACGATCCTCCTGCCTCAGCCTCCGGAGTGCTGGGATTACAGGCATGAGCCACCATGCCCGGCTTGACAGAAGTATTAAGATCCCATTCAAGAGGTGAGTGCCAGGAGTGGTGGTGCATGTCTGTAATCCCAGCATTTGGGAGGCTGAGGCAGGAGGATCGCCGTGAATTCAAGGCCAGCCTGGGCTACATAGCAAAATCCTGTCTGAAAAAAAGGAAAAAAAAAAAAAAAGCTAGCTGTTGGGTGCATGCCTGTAATCCTAGCACTCGGGAGGCTGAGGCAGGAGGACTGCAAGGTGAATCCTGGCATGCCCACCTCAGCAATTTGATGAGACTCTGTCTCAGAATAAATAAGTTTCAAAAAATACAGTAATGCCTTGGTTAGCAAACACTCTGTTCACAGACAGTTCGGTTCCCAAACAGAAGCCTTTGGCAAAAGTTTACTTCCATTCACAGACTGCACTTCAGGGAGGAACACAACCAGGGCCATCTTCCCCAGAATTGTGGAATGAATTAAGTTCGTGAATGGAGAAGCCAGTATAAAAAGGGCTGCGGATGTAGCTCCGTGTAAAGGTCCTGGGCTCAGTCCTCGGTACCACACACACACACACACACACACACACACACACACGCACACATTCTGCTCAGGAGCGGTGGGCACCAGAGCCCACGGTCTTACCCACCACACCATGCTGCATGCTGATGCGTTAGAGCTTATGTTCACTTGCTCTTTCTCTCTGAAGCTGTGCTGAGATGCACGGGACGTACCTTTACCATCTTAATCAGTTCTAAATGGGCAGCTCGGCAGTGTTAAGTAGGGTCACCAATCTTCAGAACCTTTTGCATCTTGCAAAGCTGAAACTGTACCCACTAAACTTTTCTCCCTCCCTGCTCCTCCAGCTCTGGCGAGCACGAGTCTACTTCCTATCTCTAAGAATGTGCCCCTCCAGGGACCTCATATAATCACACAGCCTTTGTCTTTCTCTTAGCATCATGTCCTCAAATTCATCTACATTGTAGCACATTTCTGAATTCCTTGTTTAATTATTTTTGGGACAGGGTCTTGATTTGTAGTTCAGGTTGGCCTTGAACTCACTACGTAGCCCAGGCTGGCCTCAAGTTTGCTGTGATCCTCTTGCCTCTGCCTCCCATGGGCTGGGATTACAGGCACAAGCCACCATGCCTGGCTCATTCCCTTTTTAAAGGTTGCATAATACTCCATTGTACCCATCACATTACATTTATCTTATCCATTCATCTGTCGGTGGGCATTTGGGTTATTTCTACTTTTGGACTCTTAGGAACCACGCTTCTGTGAATATACATAAGCATCCCTTTAAGTTCTTTTTTTTTTTTTTTTTTTGGTACTGGGAATCGAACTCAGGACCTTGTGCTTGCCAGGCAAGTGCTTGTCCTGCTGAGCTATATCCCCGGCTCCCCTTTAAGTTCTTGCTTTTAATTCTTTTTGTGCATGTTGAGCAGAACGTCGAGGTCATACAGTAATCCTCTCTAATTTTCTTTGGAGCCTCCATACCGACTGCATGGCTACTACGCCGTTTCTGCTGATTGTGCGCAGGGTCCCAATCTCTCCACATCTTTGCCAACACTTGTTTTTATTTTATTTTATTTTTTGTTTTTTTTTTTTTTCCCGTACCGGGAATTGAACTCACGACCTTGCGCTTGCTGGGCAGGCCCTGTGCCGCTGAGCTAAATCCCCAGCCCCTTATTTTCTTCTTTAAAAAGCAGCACCTCCCTCATGGGTGTGAGGTGGCATCTCACCGCTGTTTGGATTGGATTCCCTAGCGGTTAGTGATGCTGGGCATGTTTCCTGTGCTTCTTGGCCTGTTCAATCACTCCTTCGTTAAAGAGATTTCCTAGACGCTTTCTCTGTGCCAGGCGTTGTTCTGGATGCTGGGCAGAGGGTGCCGGGCAGCTCAGAGGCTGCACTCCAGTGTTGTGTGCCTTCCTCCGTGTCCCGGTTCTGCATCCTCCAGTCCGTGCTGATGCACGGGGTCCTTTGCGTCTCAGGCTCTGCATCTGGCCGGGGGTACAGCAAACTAGCTGAGCCTGCCTGGGATCCGGGCGAGGCGTTCAGTCTCCATCAGGATCAGATCCTCACATGGACTTGGTGAGGTGCGTCCCGCTCTCTGATCTCACAGGTGAGGGAGTGGAAGCAGGGAACGGGAGCAAGGTCAGAGCGACAGAGTACGGAGGGGGGCCCTCAGGCCTCCGCTGCAGCCCTGGGACCCCAAGCTTCACCGCCACACTGCACCATCTGGTCCACGGGTCTCTCGGGGGCATCAGAAGAGCATGACCCACCTAGGGGCCCTTACAGGCGTCGGCTCTTAGCTAACGACTCGCCCCATTGCTCCTTCTTCCGATCCACCATTCGCCACCTCTCTCGTGGTCTGCATCTCATCCCCGCTTCTGCCATTTCACCCATTCATCCAGCCGTCCACTCATCCACTCACTCCCCAGGCCCGGGGGTGCCAGGCCCGGGACCAGACAACGCCGGGGAAACGTGGGGGACCGACCCCGCGTCCCCGCCTCAGGGGCTCCCAGCTTGCTGCGGGTGCAGCTCAGCGACCAACCGGGGCAGCCGCCCGGGGCGGCGGGGGCGGCGGGGCCAGAGCGGACAGGGCGCGCGGTAAGTACGACACCCGAGGACGGCAGGGCGCCCCGGCCTGCAGCGCTGCGGACGCGAAGTCTGCGCAGTAGAGCAGGGTCTGCCGCAGAGGGGCGAGCTGCTTCCCGGGGCGGGCCAGCGGGCTCGGGCCGGGGCAGGGGGACCCCGGC